AGAAAAAGAAAAGAAATAGGTTTTGGTAAATGAAGTTTGATAAAAGAATTTAAAGCGAACAAACCTGAGAGATAGGATAGTAGGCATTTTCGGCTAAGAAAGCCGACACATATTAGAATACTAGTAATATATTAGGTGTTAAATGTAAAGGTCAGGGCTATCTATGTTAAGTAAAAAATAAAAATATAAAATATCACAAAACAAAAAAATCTTAAATAAAAAAAAAAAACAACTGAGGAATATTTTTGGCATTATGACAAAATTTAGCTAAAGAAAAAATGAAAAATAAAGGCCAGAGTTAATAGGGTTATCTCCGAAAATAACCCATGTTACGTAAACAATTGAACTTGTAAGTCTAGCGTACCCGAAAAAAGCATAGAAGCAGACACAATAGGAAAGTAAAAAAAAGCCCCACACCAACTAACAAAAACTTATAGATTAAGGAAAGTTAAATTGAAATGTGTAGATAGTTACTTCGAAAGAATGCTCCACAATTTCCAGCAGAGACTCTAGTGAAGAAGCTAGAAGAGCTAAAGCGCATGTTAGCAAGAACACAGGACGTGCCATTGCCAAACCAAAACAATAACATGGAAAAACAAAGCAACAAAAGATGAACGAGCTCTCTATCTCTCTTTCTATCTAGAAGTGCTCAAGATATTCTTCTTTAGGACGTGGCTTTTATGTGTATTTCATATAAAGAATCTTGTTTGTGTTTGTTAGAATTTACTCATTTCCATAAGGTCTAGATATAATAAAGTGGCTGTAGCTAGCGGCACTTAACTCCCACGATTGCGTGAGTAAAGAAGTATCTATGTTTTCATAGGTAAATGAATTAGTCTTTTGAATATGTCAATTGAAAAACTTTAGTTTATTTGACCATTTAAAAAAAAAAAAAATGAAAGAGCAATGTCATAGAATCTTCATTGTGGAAGCAAACATAAGCACTTTGACTTCATAAAATTTGAGATTTGGCCATGCATGACAGCCCCACAAGGACGAAACAATTCCTATCTGGATATTTTCTTTCCTTACCTACTATTGGTCTGGATTTTTACGTTTTCATGCCAATAAATGTTATTAGCGATAATGTAATATAAAAACTAAAAAATTAAAAAGAAAGTATATAAAAATTTATTTTCTAAACTCAATTTTAAATCCAATGAGGTGTAAAACAGAATTTACTGACGGCTGATAAGAAAAAACAACAGATACAAAGAGAGTTTGTTTTAATAAATATTCTAACTAGGACTTACCGTATTTTATGGATTTGAAAAGTAATTCTCTAGCTTTTAGGATTAAGTAAAGAGTACTTAAAAAATTAATATGACATTCATTTGTAGCATTGTACATTCTCCAGTGTAAATAATGGATTGGAGAGAAAACTAAGTCTATCGTCATATTATATTTTTTTCAATAAGTGTTTGATTGTGGCAATGTACATACCATCTATGCTCTTTGCGTAAGTTCTCATAAAATATACATAAGTTACCTTACAAAATCTATAGTAAGTTTCTCACAAATATATACGTAATTGTGATTTCTCAAAATTTTTTAATTGACGTTAAAACTTACGATATTTTATGAAAACTTTACACGATTTTATGAGTTGTTATTCTCAATTTTTGTGAGTTACATTACATATATTTGTGAAAACTACACGATTTTATGAGTTAATTATATATAATATTTATGAGAATTACGACAAGTACATATGGTATTCATTTACACACGTAAGAGTTGCCCATATATTTAGACCTCATATATGCATTGATGAATAAGGCTATCAAACCTTATTTTTAATGATCTAAATTATTTATACTTGCAATTTCTGTACTGTATAGATCAATAATTAAAAATTTCCATATTGATCCCACAATTACTATAGCCATATGATTTTATAATATTTGTTAAAAAATGAATGGTTATTATACTCTTAAAAATAAAACTACTCTATTTTTTTAAGACAATATAATCAAGTTATATGTCTACCAATTATTGTATTAATTTTATTATTATTTATTTTAAAAATAGATCAATCTGATACAAGATTGACAACGATCGCTACAGTTTGCATTATCCAATTTCATCTCTCTCT